GCAGAGTCAGGGCAGTGTCGGGTGGAAGATGGAGTGAGAGGCTGGAGTGTAGAGCCTGGGAGGGGGCGTAGGGAAGAGGTCTACCTACTGGCAGGTGCTGGAGAAGAGGATCTCCACTGTACCACCATCTTCAAGGGAGGACATCCTGAGCAGCTGGGAAAGAGCCAGCCCAGTGTAAGGCCAGAAAGCAGCTAGCAATCCATTGAGCTATCAGGAGAGGAGAGTGAGTACTCCTACACCCCCTGGGCCAGATAAGAGGAGAGGGCGGTCAGGTGGTAAACCAAACGAGCTTCTCATCCGGGGCTGCTGTGCTAAATTGGCAGTATCTGGGCCCCCTTGCCCAGGAATACCCTCAGGCAGCTGGGTGAAGAGGAGGATTATCTGGGTTCTGAGGAAAATTGTGCACGACAACAAACGGTGTCAATTTTACTAATCATAGGAGACCCTTTAAAAGCCTTTACAGATTAGCACTTTAAATTTACAGAGGAGGTCTGGTGCTAGAATTACTGCCCGTGATCTGACAGTTGTGGTGATACCTCACATGTGTGGGATGATCGCTGTTTGTGCTCGTGCGGGACCGATGCGTGCGTTCACCTTTGTGCGTGAGCACGGGGGATGGGGGCACTTTACTTTTTTTTTTTAATTATTATTAATTTGTTATATTTTTTTATTTTATGTTGCCTTCATTTATCATCACTTTTAATGCTGTCACAAGGAATGTAAACACCCCTTGTGACAGCAATAAGCTGTGACAGGTTCTCTTTATGAGGGATCTGGTGTCAAAAAGACCCCCAAACCCCTCCTCTGCACTTAAAAGGATTCCGAAACGCCAAGTTTGGTTTTTCTAAATGCTTTTTTTTGTTTTGGTTTTTTTTAAATGGCGCTGTTTATATCCGGGTAACCCAGAAGTGATGTCATGTGATCGCTTCCGGGTTATCATAGCGGGAGCCCTAATCAAAGCTGACTTCGGTTTTGATTGGGCCTCTGTCAAGCCGGCGGACACGCATGTAATAACGATTGAGTGGCTTGTTAGCTGCAATAATGATCCATTATTATATGAAAGCCGACCGCTGGCTCTAATAAACAGCAGGACATCGCCTGCATATGCAGGCATCATCCCAGTACACAGGGTCAAACCCCAGTGACATATGGGTACATCCAGGGGCTGACTGACAACACACGGGGCCCCCGGGCAATAGGGGATCCTGGAGCCCCTGTGTCCTTGCCCAAACTCAAAAAAGCCTATGAAAAAGGTACCAGGGGCATCTCATGGTGCCCCCTACTGACTCCGGGCCCTCAGGCAGTGCCCGAGTTTCCAAATGGTCAGTCCGCCCCTGGGTACATCACTGGGGCTGAAGTGGCTACAAGACCATTAATTAGTGGATGTGTATGGATTAGTTATGAGAATAATGGGCAGCACTGTGGCTAAATGGTTAGCACTTTCGCCTGTCAGTACTGGGGTCATTGGTTGAAATCCTAGCCACAGCACCACCTGCCTGGAGTTTGCATGTTCTCCCTGTGCCTGCATGGGTTTCCTCCAGGTTCTCCGGTTTCCTCGCACACTCCAAAGACATGCTGGTAAGTTAATTCAGTGTTTTTCAACCTTTTTTGTGCAAAGGCACACTTTTTTCATGAAAAAAATCACGAGGCACACCACCATTAGAAAATGTTAAAAAAAATTTACCTCTGTGCCTATATTGACTATATATAAAGTAATTCTCTTGAATAGGAATCAAACACAAAAAAATTATTTTAGAATTACTTTATTATGAAATAATAAAGTATTTTATAATTGGACCCGGGGGGCCAGACCAAGAGTAGATGAATGATGTGTATGCGTCATCCATAGTAAGTATAGTAATATTCCCCCATAGTAAGCATAGTAATTAATCCCCCATATAGTAATTCATCCCCCATAGTAATTCATCCCCCATATAGTAATTCATCCCCCATAGTAATTCATCCCCCCATAGTAATTCACCCCCCTATAGTAATTCATCCCCCCTATAGTAATTCATCCCCCCATATAGTAATTCATCCCCCATAGTAATTCATCCCCCATATAGTAATTCATCCCCCATATAGTAATTCATCCCCCATAGTAATTCATCCCCCATAGTAATTCATCCCCCATATAGTAATTCATCCCCCATAGTAATTCATCCCCCATATAGTAATTCATCCCCCATAGTAATTCATCCCCCATATAGTAATTCATCCCCCATAGTAATTCATCCCCCATAGTAATTCATCATCCCCCATATTAATTCATCCCCCATATTAAGTCCCCAAGCCCCCCCTGTGTCAATTCACTTACCTTTGCTCCGCGCGTTCCTCTCGCCGATTCCGGTGTAGCATGAAAATCTGTCTCCTATGAGGATCTGTCCCCCTCGACGTATCTGCGCATGTGCCAGTTTCAGGCATTAGCAGCCGATCGGCGATCTCCGGCACATGCGCAGATACGTCAAGGGGGACAGATCATCCTGACAGTATCACGCTCCGCGGGCCGGATTAAAAGGTCCGCCGGGCCGTATACGGCCCGCGGGCCGTAGTTTGCCCATTACTGTTCTAATGATTAAAATGCAAATTAATTGAATACTTGTGAGCCACTAGAAGTTTTCTTACTGGTGAAGCAATTAATTCCGTGTTTAAAAATGAATAATATTAACTAATGAATAAAGTGAACCAATAATAAATCAATTAACGTGCTTAATTAGATATTTAGATCGCCAGGTACTTTTTACACCTCTCTCCAGGTGTGTGGATGCTAAATTCATATATCTATATTGTACCGCGCTCCAAACACTCTAAATAAATAATAAATAATAAATAAATATTGTGTATCACCGATAAATCAATAATAATCTATACCCTTGATGCTTAAATCCATAATTGCATAATACTTAAATCCATGATTGAAGTGAATCAAAAAATACTATTAATATTTATAAATCAGTGCATAAAAAACTGCGTGCATAAAAAACTAATGAAAACTGAAAAAAGAAGAATGAAAAAATAAAATAAAAATATAAAAAATGAAAAATATAAAAAATATAAAAAATAAAATGCAATAAACTGGAAAAAATATATAGGTGAATAATAATTCAGTTCATACGAATTGAGATGGTGATGTGGTTCAATCTAATCTGCGTAGTAAGTCAATGTTCATAACATGAACCTCTCTCTCCTTCCTCCTCTCCTTTCTCCTCAATACAGCTTTTCTCAATAGGGACTTTCTCCTCTAGCTGCTTGGCTTATTCCTCCATAACCGATACATACAGAGAGAAGGGAAAAAGAGACATAGTGTCTTATCCTGGGTAACAAAATGTTTAATGAGCTTCTGATCTCCCCACTCACATGGTATCAGCAAAAGTAGCGCTTTGTGTAAATAAATCAAATCCTCCTGCAAACAGCCCTGCAGGTGTGTGTGTGTTCACTCGCTATACTCGCCGTTCCTCTGTGGATGCGTGATGACGTCACCGCCCCTCCTACGCGTTACGCTACAGGGACTCGTAGCTTCCTCTGGGGGATGTAGTTTGTGGCCGGATTAAAAGGTCCGCCGGGCCGTATACGGCCCGCGGGCCGTAGTTTGCCCATTACTGTTCTAATGATTGGTCTATTTGTGAGCCGAGGCCACATGTTACGGATGAAATTGCAATTTTTCCCACGGCACACCAGACAATATCTCACGGCACACTAGTGTGCCGCGGCACAGTGGTTGAAAAACGCTGGTTTAATTGGCTCCACTCTAAATTGGCCCTAGTATGTGTATGTATGTATGTAAGTTATGGACCTTAGATTGTACACCCCTTGAGGGTTAGGGACTGATGTGAATGTACAATATATATATATATATAAAGCGCTGCGTAAATTGATGGCGCTATATAAGTACCTGAAATAAATAAATAAGGACATCGCTTAGGGCTAGTTCACACCAGGAATTCCTGTGCGATTCACATGCACTTCTGTGAAGTGAAATTTCAGTTCATTCATCTTGAGTAGAGTGAAGTCGCACCACACCAAAAGTAGTGCATGCTCTACTTTTGCAGACTGACTGCCACCGGATCTCATGGTACTTTTGTACCATGCGATCCAGTGTGGGTAAACACACTACGTTTGTGACCTGTGTTTTGGGGTGTCATTAACTTATTATTTAACATCCCGGTCACATCGATCCGACTTTGAAATTGTGTGACTTCCAAGTCGCATGATTTCAAAGTCGGATGTCATTCCAGCTTGAGGTGCGACTTGCAAGATGTCTGCGGCTTGTAAAACGCAGATGTCTATTCACGTTGCACCTGAAGTCATGCATGCATTACTTTAGAAACTGGTGCTCCTCTGATGAAGTTGGAATCACAGCGATATAACCGCTTTAATTGCGTGCAATAGGGTGTGACTTGCCATGCAATTTGTAACTCGCATGGTATGGCAAATCGCTTGGCAAGTGGCACCTGGTGTGACCAGCGTGTTACACACACTGTGGAAAACACGCACAGAACGCCCTTAGTGTCACATTAAATGCTCATTAAAGTGTTACTAAACCCACAACAGTAAAAATCAGTTGTATATGCAGTAAAGCATGCTTGATATACTCCCTGTGGAACCTAAGGGGTTAATCTTTCCCATTGTGTAAAAAGGCTGTTTGATCCTGTCTTCTCTGATACTCCCCTTCTTCTACTGCCCCCAATCCATCTGCTAATAGTACAGAGCTCTAGGAGGCACTCTGCACATGCTCAGTTTAGTGTGTATTGCTAGGAAGTTCTTTTTTTTTTTCTTTGGGCCAATCAGCACTGCCTAGAGTGTTAGGGGTCTTACAGCCTCATAGGACAGTCAGAGGAGAATGAAAACTCCTCCTACAAGCTTTAACCAGAGCTCATCTGGACACTGATAGAAGTCACAAGACTACTCCAACTGCTGATGAGAAAAGGTATTTAGCCGTTTATATTTACTAAAATAATTGCCCTTCCATATTGTGTGTGCTGTGGTGGGAGACCAGATATAGTGAATGCAGAGTCCGGAGAGACCAGATATAGTGAATGCAGAGTCCGGGGAGACCAATTATAGTGAATGCAGGGTCTGGGGAGACCAGATATAGTGAATGCAGGACCCGGGGAGACCAGATATAGTGAATGCAGGGTCCTGGGAGACCAGATATAGTGAATGCAGGGTCCTGGGAGACCAGATATAGTGAATGCAGGGTTCGGGGAGACCAGATATAGTGAATGCAGGGTCAAGGGAGACCAGATATAGTGAATGCAGAGTCAAGAGACCAGATATAGTGAATGCAGGGACCGGGGAGACCAGATATAGTGAATGCAGGGACCGGGGAGACCAGATATAGTGAATGCAGGTTCCTGGGAGACCAGATATAGTGAATGTAGGGTCCGGGGAGACCAGATATAGTGAATGCAGGGTCCGGGGAGACCAGATATAGTGAATGCAGGGTCCTGGGAGACCAGATCTAGTGAATGCAGGGTCCTGGGGACCAGATATAGTGAATGCAGGATCCAAGGAGACCAGATATAGTGAATGCAGGGACCGGGGTTTAGTAACACTTTAAGTCTAGGGGGTTGCAGAAGAAGCTGCATTACTTACCTGACTTCACTAGTGTGCGGGGAGCCTTCCCTGCTGGCAGAAGACAATGATCTCTGCTAAGAGCTATAGCCACTGGCAATGACTGCATGCCCAAAAACTGACAGGCTGGTTGTACTGAAGCCGATCGATGGAACTGGATTTGGTCCTGGTTAACTGGGGAACTGACCACAAGGGAGGGACACAGCATGCCACTCCCCTCGCTTTGCAGAAAACCTGCCATGTTGGTACAGTACTCCTGCCGTGTGGCTATCAAGTCATTCCCTTCGCTGGTTACCCTTAGCAACCACATTCATCCCTTTGTAGTAACTTCAGACCAGGCTTTGAAACATTTAACAACTTTACTTGAAAACTGCCACAGTACAAGTGCACACAAGTCCCATTCTGACTGCCTATTCCTAGGCTGCCCAGGCATACCTTTCCAGGTAGTAGTCCATATCTGGGAGAGTCCTTTTGAGGTAGGTTCCTATGCGGGGTGCTTGCTGGTTTCTCAAGGTTACATCTTCTCCAGTGAACTTCTTGACCCCTTTCCACTGTGGTTCCCCCCCCAGCAGGGCCTTCCCTGTATTCATATAAATCAGAGGGTGAAGAGCAGTACTCAGAATAGCCTGGGAAAGACATAGAACCCACGTTAACCCTTCCTTACCTGGCACACCAGAATCTCTGTCTAACAGAAGCAACAATTGTAGGTACCTGCCTACAAGCAGCCCCTAAACCAAATCCTCCCTTGATGTTCTGCCTCTCCCTCAGAACTGTTCTCAGCAGGCAACTAGAACAGCTAATGCTCATTCCTGTGCAGCTAATGCTCATGCACATGTACCAGCGCACAGAGGAGCCCAGGCTAATATCCAGCGTGCACTGACACGTAGGTGCATTTCAGTGCGCCAGCGCGCATGTCTTCGCCCATTGGCACCAAGCTGGAGACTCTGCTGTGTATTAATCGCTGGATGTTCTTCAGCTTCTTGTGATCTGTGTTCTGTATGTACTGACTGATCTTCCGTTGCTGACCTGGTTTGTGGATTCTGGAATCTGACCTCGGCTTGCCTCTGACTACTCTCTGCCTGATCTCCTGGTGCTGACCTCGGCATGCTACTGGACCTTGTTCTGCTTGCTAACCTGGTACCGACCTCAATCTACCTCCTGACCACGCTACTGTCTGTGTATGATCCTGGCTCACCTTGACTACATCCCTGCCCGTGGCACTCACCTGCTATCAAGCTACTGGCACCTGTGCTTCTTTGAGCCTTGTACCTCTGTCACCGCATTCAGGGGTGCTGGAAACTAAGACGCAAGGGAAGCCCTCTCATCAACTCGGCCTCCAACCAAGGTACATGACACTCTTCTCCAATTGGTGGCGCCCACTGTTGGTCTGCCACCTCATCATCCACCTCCTCATCACCAAAACCCACTTCTTAGTAGCCCCTGCTGATGGAACATCACTGCCCCTTGCTGCTCCCTGACTGCTGTATGGCTGAACCCTCTTCGATCATGGTGCCATTTGGTGCGCACTACTTTACCGCACAGGTAGGCAGAGACCTGCGGCAAAAAAGAGCAGCTTTGTCTCTGTCAGTGTATGCTGCGTACCCTGAAATTAAAAAAGAGAATAATATAAAACATCTCTTCCTATTCTGATTCCAGCTTAGGGTTGCCACCTCATCGCTTTAAAACCGAACACACATAATCATTGCACAGGTTCTGTGGCTGATTAAGGTGGTAATTAAACTCACTTAGTGAACCAGAGGTAATAGATCGCTTATCTGCATTCGGAGAACAAATTGCGCCTCAGGAACGGCTTCCAAACGCTGTACAAATGAAAAATATTTTACTTAAATCTCTCCAGATTATAGTAAAAGACCAGTTTACTAAGCAGAGGTAAATTATCTCTGCTTAGTCTTCGGTCCCTCTGATTCTCCATGAACACAGATCTCCAGAGAAGGGCTGACAGGATCTCCTAAGTGTTATAAACTGTGAACCCTGTGTCATAAAAGGACACCATAGTACCTTATCTGCATTAAATTCGCCTCAGGACCTGTGTAATGAATAGTGTTCGGGTTTAAAGCGATGAGGTGGCAACCCTACTCCAGCTGTTGTATTAGTGACGTATCCCTTGCTGAGACCTCTATGCCTGGGCTGTATAAGCAGATACAATCACCTAAGACAGTCTTTATCAGATAGCTGAACTCACCAAACACCCTTTTCTCATCCACGAGGATCTTTACTGAATGCAGCAGGTTACAGCAGACAACAGGATGTGGCAGATGATTGAAAAAACAGTGTTTGCAGGTCAAAACATGGTAATGCGTTCCCCTATGTGAGCAGATTAGCATGTGGCTGCGAGACAAGCAGCCATTTTTATCCCACAAGACAATGTGAGAAGGAAGGGGAAATACATTATAAAATGGGAGGGAACACAGAAAAAGATGGTGCAATAACCATAATGACCACAAGATGGCAGTATATTAATCAACTATACTGAGGCCAACAAACAATGGCTTACAGTGGAACTTCACTCTCTCAATCAACATGGACGATTTTGAATCCCTAAAGTGGAGTTCCAGCCTTCTTCTCTCCCTTCAGTGTGGGCACCTGGCCAGGGGCGGACTGACAACTCATGGGGCCCCCGGGCAATAGGGGATCATGGGGCCCCTGTGTCCTTGCCCAAACTCAAAAAAGCCTATGAAAAAGGTACCAGGGGCATCTCATGGGGCCCCCTACTGACCCCGGGCCCTCGGGCAGTGCCTGAGTTTCCAAATGGTCAGTCCGCCCCTGCACCTGGCTGTGACAGCTTGCGGCTTCACAGCCGGGTGCCCAATGCACGAGAAGCGCTGCGCCTTGTAAATGGCCCCATAGTCTTCTGGGACCTGTCACATGACCCAGAAGACTACAGGGAGGGAGGGGGGTAGGACAGCTTCCACTTCCGATCACCTAGGCGATCGCAGCGGAAGTGGGAGCGGGTTCCTCTCAAAAAGCGGGTACCCCCCGCTCCCCAAAGGTGCAAATCCTAATTGGGGAGCAAGGGACAAAGGCTTAAAGCAGAACTTCCCCACTTCCCCTTTTGGGTGGAGATCCGCTTTATACTTCTACCATTAGTAAATAGGAAAGTATATCATATTTACTGGTTTTAGACTTTTTTTTTTTTTTTACAATTATGCAGTTACTTCTTGGTTTCCATCCCTAGGCAAATTATGTCAGACATCCCAACAGTCTTCAGGAGGGGAGGGTTCTCATCTTAGCCTATGCCTGAGATAAGGGCAGAAGGATTTCAGGAAGTAAATGATACCTGAATCACCTGCCCTTACTCAAGATAGCCATGCCAGGGGATGTTTTTCAAAATGATTTCTCAGCCAAATAAAGCATGGAGACATGGATTGATGGGGGAGTTTGTTTTGAATATTAAAAATTAGTTAAATAGCATTTTTATTTTGTGGTGCTCAGATGCAGCGCAGTTCCACTTTAAAATGTTCCTACACCCCGGACCCTGCATTCACTATATCTGGTCTCCCCAGACCTTGCATTCACTATATCTGGTCTCCCCGGACCCTGCATTCACTATATCTGGTCTCCCACAGTACACTCAACACGGAAATGCAATTATTTTAGTAAATATAAACTGCTAAATACCCTTTCTCATCAGCAGTTAGAGCAGTCTTGTGACTTCTATCAGTGTCCAGCAGAGCACTGGTTAAAGCTTGTAGGAGGAGTTTGTGTTCTGCTCTGGGCAGCACAGTGGCTAAATGGTTAGCACTTCCACCTGGCAGCACTAGGGTCATTGGTTCAAATCCCAGCCACAGCACCACCTGCCTGGAGTTTGCATGTTCTCCCTGTGCCTGCGTGGGTTTCCTCTGGGTACTCCAGCTTTCTCTCACACTCCAAGGACATGCTGGTAGGTTAATTGGATCCTGTCTAAATTGGCCCTAGTATGTGTATGTATGAATGTGAGTCAGGAACCTTAGATTGTACGCCCCTTGAGGGTTAGGAACTGATGTGAATGTACAACATATGTAAAGCGCTGCGTAAATTGACAGCACTATATAAGTATATAAATAAAAATAGGAGGATGCAGAACCTCTGACTTTTGTCTGGACGGCACTGATTGGCCCTGTGCTAATCACATGCACTTTCCCAAGATAAAAAAACCTCTCTAGCAATACACACCAAACTGAGCACGTGCAGCTTGCCCCCAAGGCTCTGTTATAGCAGAAGATGGATTGGGGACTGTGGAAGGGGAGGATCAGAGAAGACAGCATCAAACAGCCTTTTTACACAATGCAGAGGCAGGGGTGGACTGAGAACTCATGGGGCCCCTGGGCAATAGGGGATCATGGGGTCCCTGTGTCCTTGCCCAAACTCAAAAAAGCCTATGAAAAAAGGTACCAGGGGCATCTCATGGGGCCCCCTACTGACCCCGGGCCCTCGGGCAGTGCCCAATTTCCAAATGGTCAGTCCGCCCCTGTGCAGAGGATTAGCTCCTTAGGTTCCACAGTGAGTATAACAAGCATGCTTTACTGCATATACAGACTGATTGTACTGTTGTGGGTTTAGTAACACTTTAAAGTCCCTCCCTAGGATTCTCCGTGAACTCGAACCTCATTCCTACTCAACACTGGAGATGAGTTTGGGGGTCGTCTAAACTCATCTCTAGCCAAACTCCAAACTGACGCTTATTTTTTTAAATCATTTTTGCTCTTGCGGCCAGGCCATTCCTGCCCCACCTCCCGGATCTTTGCTTACATGAGCTGTGGGGTGGGATCGGCCGGGCCTGCAGCTCCTTGCAGCAAATAGTGAGAATGAGTTTTCAGTTTGGCTGGTGTTGAGTTTGGAAGGATGCCGGATCTCACCTCTACTCACCAAAAGCCTTGCTGGCCGTTTAGGCCTGAGATTCCAGAGTTTTTCGGTATGTGGAAGGCACACAGACTGGTACGAACATTTAGGGCATATTATGCTCAGGGACGAATGCCCACAGG